AGTCTCCGTCACCTGAGCCAGCATCCCCCACTTTTCTTGGTAAATCGCACCAAAATTGGCAAATATTCGATTGAATAAAAACAGACTTGTTGTGCAAGGTGTAATGGTGAACATGACCCAAGGCTTACCCCTCTGACTAGGTGTAACGGCATCCGAGTAAATGAGGGTTTGACCCACCCCTGGTGCCTGGATTAAGCCAGTCCTGCACCACTGCACAACGTCTCAAAAGCGGTCTCCATCTCGAGTGTGTTTACCAGATTGTTGCTCTGGGTTGCGGGGGCATGACGCTATGCCCTGGAGATCGCAGGATGTGTTTGGATGTGTTACCAAACCGTAAACACTGTGTTTCCCAGCCGCTGGCGAGAAATTTTATTAGCTATCATCTTGGAAGCCGTTGACAATATTTGCCACGTCCGCCAATTGTTGCAGAGTCCGCTCCTGCACACCTCCAATTGGTTTTGCTAAGGGAGAGGTGTGTCGAGCATGAGAAAAGCTGCATAGTGTTCAGGGGTGGTCGGACATAGATGGTGTGAACCATTTAATATGGAAATGTTCTTTTCATTATATGAGACATGATATGCAAAGGCCTGGACCATTCCACACAACTTAATGCACATGTGGCTGACATGGCTGTTGCGGGATGTTTTTGTTATATATTATAATATATTATATTATATTATTATTATTTACATGATATTTGATATATTTGCCTGAGTTTAATTCCCCTTTCGGTTTTGCGTCTGGTCCCACTCATAAAACTGTGACCAGTGAAGTCGTGTGATTTGTTCTTCATTATCATGCTTGATCTCGTCAAGTATGACATTGCTGCTCCTGAATTGTGAACCGTCGAGCAATGCTGGGGCCTAATCGAATCAATGAAGTAGTCCTAGTTTGCGTTTCACTTAGACAGCAAGCGTAAGTAAGACGTTGGGACTTTTTCAGAGAGATCGGAACTCGTCGCTGACAAAATCGCTGAATAAATCGTTAACTTCACGGCCATCTCGGTGTCAATGTGCCAAGGTTCTATATCGGCGCTGATGCATGGATGATGCGCTAGTAGATGCGGTGATGTACGCAATGCGTTTCGCCCGAGATGGGCATCGGCGGTCTTGATTATGACGTCAGTGGGGAGCATCATTTCTGTCTATCCGGTGTCTGGTAAGTTCACTCAGTGTGCGCCATTTGTTTGTATTCCATGTAAAGCGTGTAAGTGATGGCATGAAGGGGAGGGTGCATTGTATTGCAATTGCTACCACTGGTGTGTGGAGCTGTAGCCATCAGGACATCATGCAGATGTGCCGTTGTGCTCACCAGACTACTTGGTTGGATTATTAGTAATTAATGTACATGTACATCGCATTCAGAGTGCTATCCTTGGATGAGCAACGCCAGGACTGAACTGAAATGCCACAAACCGGAAGATAATTACTCCAAAGAGCCCAGCGAACGTCCAGCATTTGCTGCACTGTGCTTTAGGTGACGGCGCGCTGTCAAGCGACGAATGTGCAGCACCATACTTCTTGCTGCTAACCTCGGCCTGCTGGAACGGCATCTCCATGGCCTGCATCGACGTGGTGAAGAAGCACGTCACCAGGAAGACTCACGGCGACGTGGGCATGCGTGTGTGCGACTACCCGACCATCCAGGTCAGTGTCGGGGTGTGTCCAGGTCAGTGTTTGGGTGGGAAGAGCGCGCTGGGTTGTCCAGTCGTCTGATGTGGATTCAGTGTGTCTGATACTCCTGTCTGACCCTTACGCAATGTGGTACAGTGGAATCATGTAGGCTGAACCAAGTGTACAGTACGGTGACCATTTGCTGCATGCATGGAGCTGAAAGCAAGTGTGACTGTTTTTTATTTGATGACTAACTCAAATCGGTCTCCATCAGGAGCATTTTTTCCCGTGCTGTAACAGCTTGTGTGTTCTGCCTGTCATAGAACTGTGGTGTCCGAGGCTCCTCCACAGCACGCTGCTGAATTTGAAGTCATGTCTGTCTTTTATAGGACTTCTTCGGCGAATGCATATGCGACACGAGCGCGACGCGGCTGATGAATGCTTCGCTTGCCATGGCCTTAGACCAAGAAACTGACAACAACAACTGGGAAAAGCACAGCGACACCACGTACCTGCCGAGGTCAGTGACGCCCGGAGAGCGTAGATAGCATAGGCTGGAGATCTGAAGGAAGGATTCACGTAAGCAAGGCTACCACTGCTGCCAAAAGCATGTTGCGTCAGCAGGATGTTTTTCCGATGCTGTTGTTGAAATGTTTCAAGGCTTTCGTGGTGAAAATTCAAGAAGAGTGCAAATGCATGAAATAATAAATGACATAAAACAGAGCACAAATGCATGAAACATGCATACAATTGCACAAGGCTGAAAGCTGAGAAATGTACCAAGGATCATGACTGTGATATGATGCGGATCTCCGGAGCGCAGATGGAGTGGCGCTCTTAGTTCTGAATATGCAGTATCAGTCCAGTTGTTGTGTGACCTAGACCATAACTTATATGCACGTCATTACTGTGTATTGCACGCAGGCGTCATCATTTTCCACACCATACTGGAGACCACTAAATACGAATGGCCTGTTCGCAGAGCCAAGTTCGGACCCTGGATGTTTCAATTAAAATTATCCGCGGTCAAGAACGTGAACCTAGTAACCGACAATATGCTGCCTGCGGCAGGAGGCTCTGGGTACAAGGTGAATTGGGGTGAGCTTCATAGTGCAATATGGTGATAAGATTTCTGTCACAAATATTAATCAAATGACACCTTGGACTGAACAACAAGGGCAGACAACTCACATTGGCGTGGACAATGCTATGATGACCTGGCGGGGCCGGCACTCCTCCATGCTCATTGCATTTGCCGTGGCCACGTGTAGAGTGCTCTCCTCATCGCCCCGTCCACTCTGGTGGCCGTGGCGACTTAGTTTCTCCGTTGGCCACCAGGTCTGCAGCGTCTGCTCAGAGACGGCATGGCCGGTTGGCTGATGGCAGTCAGCAACGAGGTGATCAGACAGCTCATCGGCAAATCCGCTCTTATTGGCATGGACGCCGTGGACTACTGGTAAGTGAGCCGCATTTTGTATGATGGAACTGCAGTAATCCCAGGTATAAAGGTTACAGGCATTATCACTTTTTATTGCGATTAGCAACGCGTCTAATAGCAGCGCTCCATATTCCACGGCACCATTGGCAGCTTCACCGGAAGCATAGTCATGATGCTAAGCTATAGACAACGGGAACGATTTCCTCTGCGCTGGCAGGGAGAAGAATGTCAACACGCGCGTAGTGCACCACGAGCTGAAGAAGATGACTCTCGAACAGCAGATGCTGGTCGAGAACCTGATAGAAGACGTGCAGAACGGCCGCCTCTCGGGTGGAAAGATCGCCAGCATACAAGATGAGGGCTTTGAGAACCCCTTCAGCACTGGCCCGCCGCATTATGTCAGTAAGGGCTGTAGGGGACCCCCCCCCCCCCCGAACAGCAAACCTGAAACACTGTACTGTACTGTAGTATATTCAGAAGATGCTTGCAGCATGAGATGTTGGTGAACTCCAATCCTCAAGTTACTTAAGACGTGCTTAACCTAAAACGCTTAGAAATATCCGGTATCAGGAAAGCAATCGCAACTCATGGACGCTTTACTATCCCAGTCCCCACTGAGGTACGTTGATAGCATGGCCTCTCCACGCACGCAGGATTTTCCTACCTCGAGATCCCGGCTGATAAATGTTCAGCCTTAAAGTTAAAGTTTAGGGCGTTTTGCACACTTGGCGTATTTCTAGTTAATGCTGTAATTCACGCATTGGACTGCGTTCTTTCCGGCACCTGTGACCCCATAACCATCCCATACTTGCAGCGCGTTGCACGTGATCATGACGCCCTTCCACATGGCATTGAATTTCGCTGCTCGTTAGGGTTTGTGTTTTAAGGATGGGGGTTTTCCGCTCTAGAAATTAAGAAAAATGGAATAAGCTAAGGATAAGCCTTGGAAAATGGAACAAGCTAAGAAAAAGCCTTGTATCCTGTCTTTCTATTGGAGAGCCTACGTAATTTCCAGACGCTGACTCTGAATGACTGCGGGTGCACGCCCGGCCTGAGCTCAGACAGCTACACTTCAGCAAGTTGCTGGGGACTTTTTCCGCTCAATTCTTAGCCCGACTATTGAAGAAAACATTTTTCAACCTGATTCAGCAAAAGTTGAGATGTCTTCAAAGTCAGCTCCATTTTCAACTCGAATTAAGTCCAACGCTGGTCAAGGATAAGTAATGAGATTGATGTCAGTTGCTCAGCTGATGTGTGATTTCATGTACCAACGTGCCTGTTTTGAGTTTGATGCAAACTCTTTTCCAAGCGTCGAAGATACCATGTATGATATATATCAAACCCTTTCGATCTTGGCTCCGCACGACAAGCCCAGTCTGTCTGAGGGCTCGAGCTCACGGCTCCTGGGAGAAGAGCATATGCCCAAGATATGTGTGCCCCGAGGGAGGATTTCAGAAGGATATTGTGGTGAATCGTTGTACATTTTATGAAATGTAACAACAACTTGCAGTGCACTGCGATGCGTCAGAACGATAAATTGAGACAGCAAACAAACTACGCATGAGCTGGCGGCGTGTTAGGCTTCTATTATCCAGGAGCAATCCCAAACTGTAAGCATAAGCAAATGCTGGTCCAAATCCTAGGTGAGATAAACGCATCAGGTTAATGAAAGCTGAGTCAGGCGGCAATGTTCTGGGAAACCAAAGCACACTGTCACACGTACTGTGTTACTTAACGAGCCGGGAGGTTGAACTCCCAGTACACGTTACCGAGAATTTTCACCATGATCCTGTTGATACATATGTGAGGCTAACATTGTTAGCTCTACCCAAATACCGGTCCACCGTCTAACTTTCTACCGTGGACATGGGTGGGTCTTTGTCTTCCGGAGAGTCATGGTCCATCTAATTTTGTACTGGATTTCCTAACATGGAATTTCTCAAATTCGTGTGACTTCAGAGGACACACGCCTGACCTCAGATGGTACACGCGTGACCTCAGACGGCACACGCGTGACCTCAGACGGTACACGCGTGACCTCAGATGGTACACGCGTGACCTCAGACGGTACACGCGTGACCTCAGATGGTACACGCGTGACCTAAGACGGTACACGCGTGACCTCAGACGGCGCACGCGTGACCTCAGACGGTACACGCGTGACCTCAGATGGTACACGCGTAACCTCACACGGCGCACGCGTGACCTCAGACGGTACACGCGTGACCTCAGATGGTACACGCGTGACCTCAGACGGCGCACGCGTGACCCCAGATGGTACACGCGTGACCTCAGACGGCGCAGCTGGACGAGTGGCCGGACAGCTGGACGTTGCGGCCGAAGACCATGCGGACGTGCTCGGCGCCGAACTGGCCGTAGACGAAGATGTCGCGGGCAGGGTAGTGCAACTGTCGCAGCGAGCTCAGAGAGGAGATGATCATGGTCGGACCGCCACACAGCACCATCTGGCGAGACAGCAGAGACATGCTCTGAGACCGCACGGCGGCGCAGAGCCACACACTATCGCAAAAACGCTTCAAAGCTGTCACGGCATATGCAGGGTTGGGTGGTTTTCCTCAGACGGTATTGTGACTTCCCAACTCACATTTCATATGGCCTATTCCACGCACGTACGCATGCACGCACTCACGCACTTACGCATAAGCACGTACCGCCTCCACACACAAACGCACACACGCACACTCACACGCACACGCACACGCACCTACAGACCACTGACACCTTCTAACGACCCAGCGCAAGTCGCACTGTTACCCTGCAACAGATTCCTTGGAGTTCGGCCACGGTGCTGTATTACCTTGCAGCGGCCTCCATTGGGTGTTGGCACCGTGCGTTGGATCATGTCGGTATCGATGAAGCCCTCCTCGCCGTCCCAGTCCTCCGGTGCCTCGCCCAGGCTGTATAGGATTTTCAGCCGCTGGTCGGTGCCTGGTGAAGAGAGAAAGGCAATAACAGTAAACAAAAAGAGTAATAAAAAAGGAAGACAGGTAAAGAGTAAGCAATAAGGTTAAAGACCTACCGACCTCAGAAATGGATATTCACTGGTAAGCTTGTTGGCTGAACACCGATGATCTTTCCAGTGATCACAGGTGGGGCGGACAACTGACCATTCTCTGACCCTGGGACGGCGGTAGGCGACTGACCCTGGTATTTGTCCAGCTCGTCCTTGAGCAGGACATCGTCGATGGTCTCGGAGTAGTACAGCAGGTGCACCTGGGTGCGGTCCTGCGGGTCCGCCATGATGGAGCGCACCAGCTGCAGACAGGGCGTGACCCCGGCGCCCGAGGCCATCAGGGTCAGGTGGTCCGTGGTGTTGGCGTGGTACTCGAAGCCGCCGCACGGACCCATCACCTCGATCGAATCTCCTGCGGGCAGATAAAAGGGTTTTCAGTCCTCGCCATAGGGCAGTGCAACATACAAACATGTTGGACTGATATGGTGGTATCTTGTCGGCAGAGCAGGGTGGAATCTGGCACCGACATGTGAAGCCCGAAGATGGCGGTTTGGATTAGCAGTAATCGGGATGAAAGGACGCGACAACAGCATATTTACTTGCGGCCACGTGAGACTCTGAAAAGAAGCATGTAAAATAATCAAAATAAGGACGCATTTGGCATGTGATACTACATAAAGTAATAGTGTTACTACAACATAGGACACATTTACAGCAGGTATGGTGTGCCTCTCGGGCCCTATAGGTCAGCAAGCGTACAAGTTGTACTGTATTCTTTGTATTCGATCAAAAGCCTTGGAAACATACGATATCCTGTCACACACCTGACACGCATAGACTATCTTAAATCTAATCAAACCCTTATAGAGCAGTAAAAGTACACCAGTCATTGCGACAATGAAGTCAAAGCGTTTTTAATAATTGAAACAACAATATTCAAGCTAGTCGATGTGAGGGTGATGGATTAGCTTTAAATCAAAGACAAATTTGTAGCCACGTAAATTCATAACTAACCAACATTTCTTTCCCGCACAACGGTCTGTGTTGGTCTGGATAGTAACCTAGTTTTATGCGGAAATGAACACACTACACAAAAAACATTGTTGGATCTGTAATTCGGCAGTCGTGTAAATTTGTGCACTATTACAAAGGGTGAGACGTTAGACAAAAGTGATTTTTCTGCTTCTTAAGGGAGGTGTCAACTTGCATTATGAACCATGGTAGAAAAAATCGCATTACTGAAAGTGCTGTCTTGTGAGATACAAGTCTCCTGTAGGTGTCGATCCAATATAGCCGAGCCTGTATGGCCCCGAAGATCTTTCCTTGAAACATGAGCTAGTTGGGCAGCAACGCATTCATGCGTCCTCATTTCGTACATTTGTGGAGCTTCATCAAAATATATGGCCTACGTATCGTGTCATAGCCCCAAAGGCTTTTTATGTCATATAATATACATATGAAATGACTAAATTAAAAAATACATGAAATATATAGCATATAAAAATGCATCGTGTGATTGATAGGAAACATGGCATGAAATGTAATATCAAATATACAAATTTTTCATATAATATCAACTAGCAAGCAAAAATATGTCAACAATAAATGTCGTTTATAACTTACAAAACATATGTTTACAAGCCTCGCGTACGGACACGTCAAAACAAACAAGATGTTCCTACATCCATCGATTTTTAAAATTTTATCTCGCTCATATCTATGATAATATCTATAATATATCTATGCTACGCTAGATATGTGATAAATTATATATCATATCTATGATATGATCGTGTCATTATAATGAGTGATATCCCCACAAAGTGGTATCAGTTTTCCTGTCATCTACTGTGACATATCTAGCCAGCAGTATTTCTATGTTTCCAAACTCCCAACGACGTATCTAGTTGTGCAGCCGGTGTTGCTATTACGGCTGCACAGGTTGTGACTCACCCGGCTTGAGCTGCTGGAAATGGTGCGACAGAATGCCAGCCGTCTCGAACTTGAGGATCAGCTGCAGCCGATCGGGCTCGTCTGGTCGAGACACGGGTGAGAAGTAGCGCTCCTGCACCGGGTGACCGGCGGGTTGGATCCGCACCTGGACACACAGCAGTGGTGAGGTAGACAGTGTCCACATGTGTCTACACATCGTGTATCTCCATCCTCGACATCCCCAGGCTTTGTATTTCTCCACGTCATCTGACAATCATTGGTAGCAGAAGGCGTCCCGCGTAATCAGATGGTCTGAAAGAAAACTACAAGTTTCTCGAAGGCAGATTCCACTGAACGCTTCATTCCGAGAGACGTGCCTTGACATACTGCCCCGGCAGGCAGCCGCTGTGCTTGTCCTTGCTGGGGTACGCGAAGTCAAACTGCTCCATGTTGTCGCCGATTGGCGAACGCTTCTCGAGCGTCATCTTGGTGTAGCTGTCCGGGCTCAGGCCGGGCGTGCACTCGTGGCCATTCAGCATCAGCGTCTGGAAATTACGTAGGTTTTCCAGTGGAAAGACAGGATACAAGGCATATTCTTAGCTTATTCCATTTTCCAAGGCTTATCCTCACCGTATTCCATTTTCCTGAATTTCTAGAGCGGAAAACCCCCATCCTTAAAACACAAACCCTAACGAGCAGCGAAATTCAATGCCACGTGGAAGGGCGTCATGATCACGTGCAAAACGCTGCAAGTATGGGATGGTTATAGGGTCACAGGTACTGGGAAGAACGAAGTCCAATGCATGAATTGCAGCATACACTAGAAATACGCAGTGCGCAAAACGCCCTAAATCTTAACTTTACGCTGAACATTTATCAGCCGGGATCTCGAGGAAGGAAAATCATGCGTGCGTAGAGAGGTCATGCTACCAACATACCTCAGTGGGGGACTGGTATAGTAAAGCGTTCATGAGTTGCGATGGCTTACCTGATACCGGATATTTCTAAGCGTTTTAGGTTAAGCACGTTTAAAGTAACTTTTGAGGATTGGAGTTCACCAACTTTTCATGCTGCAAGCATCTTCTCCTGAATATACCACAGTACCAGTGTTTCAGCCTTTGCGTTCGCGAGGGTCGCCTACAGACCTTGTTGACGTAATGCGGCGGGCCAGTGCTGAAGGGGTTCTCAAAGTCCTCATCTTGGATGCTTGCGATCTTTTCGGCCGAGAGGTGGCCGTTCTGCACGTCTTCCATCAGCTCCTTGGCCAACGTCTCCTTCTGTTCGAGAGTCATCTTCTTCAGCTCATGGTGCACTACGCGCGTGTTGACATTCTTCTCCCTGCCAGCGCAGAGGAAATCGTTCCCGTCATCTGTAGCTTAGCACCATGACTATGCTTGCGATGAAGCTGCCAATGGTGCCGTGGGATATGGAGCGCTGCTATTAGATGCGTTGTTAATGGCAGTAAAAGGTGATAGTGCATGTAACCTTTATACCTGGGATTACTGCAGTTCCATCATAAAAAATGCGGCTTATTTACCAGTAGTCCACGGCGTCCATACCAAGAAGAACGGATTTGCCGACAATCTGTCTGATCACCTCGTTGCTGGCTCCCATCACCCACCCGGCCTTGCCGTCTCTCAGCAGACGCTCCAGACCTGGTGGCCAACGGAGGAACTGAGACGCCACGGCCACCAGAGTGGACTGGGTGATAAGGAGGGCGCTCTACACGTGGCCACGGCAAGTGGAATGAGCATAGAAGAGTGCCGGCCCCGCCATCATAGCATTGTCAACGCCAATGTGAGTTGTGTGCCCTTGGCGTTCAGCCCGAGGTGTCATTTGATTAATATTTGTAGGCAAGCGAGCCCGCATCTTCGGGAGAGCTTTCAAGGACGGTTCGACGGTCTTGTCTTCAGTTGTAATCACTCAAATAGTTTTTTAGTCACACAGGTGAGATGAAAAGTTCAAATTCATACGACTTCGCAAGCTATCTCCATCATTTACCAGCGCTTGTGACACATGTCCATCCTCAAACCGAACAACATATAAGCAGAGCTAGCAGCACCTAGTTCCGCAGAACTGAGTGGATCAGGTGGCTATCGCGTGTGACCCTTGACGTTGAGGTTAGTATAGGGTCACCACAAGTGAGACCTGGCTCGGTGCGCTGTGGGGTAAGCCACCGATCCCTTGACACACTTGTCAGCGACACAATATGCAGGTGTTGAAACATGTGGTTACGTGTTCTGGGTGGAAAGCTTCCTGTTCGTATGTAGTAGTACGAACAGTAATTCTAGTAATTACTGTTAAATAATAATAGTAAAAAGTAAAAAGTAATTACTGTAAAATAATAATAGTAAAAAGTAAAAAAGTAATTCTAGTATGTGTACATTCATATTATTTCAAACGTCATACGTTTGGACAGAAATCCTATCACCATTTTGCATTATGAAGCTCACCCAAGTCCCACCTTGTACCCAGAGGCCTCCTGCCGCATGCAGCATCTTGTCGGTTACCAGGCTCACGTTCTTGGCCGCGGAGAATTTTAATTGAAACATCCAGGGATCTAACTTGGTTCTGCGAACAGGTCATTCATATTTAGTGGTCTCCAGCGTGGTGTGGAAAGTGGTGATGCCTGCGTGCAACACACAGTAATGAGGTGCATTTAAGTTATGGTCTCGGTGACATAAAAGCTGGACGGATACTGCATGTTGAGAAATAAGAGCGCCAGTCAATATGCGCTCCAGAGATCCGAATCATATCACAGTCATGCTCCTTCGTGTATTTCTCAGCTTGCAACCTTGTGGAATTGTACGCATGTTTCATGCATTTGTGCTCTGTTTATGTTATTTATTATTTCATGTATTTGTACTCCTCTTGGATTTTCACCACTTGAGCCTTGAAGCACTTCAACAGCATCGGAAAAACATCCTGCTGACGTAACATGCTCTTGCTAGCAGCGCTAGCCTTACTGACCCTTCCTTACCCACGTGACCCCTTCCTTCAGATCTCCAACCCATACCATCTAAGTTCTCCGGGCCTCACTCACCTCGGTAGGTACGTGATGTCGCTGTGCTTTTCCCAGTTGTTGTTGTCAGTTACTTGGTCTAAGGCCATGGCAAGCGACACATTCATCAGCCGCGTCGCGCTCGTGTCGCATATGCATTCGCCGAAGTAATCCTATGAAAGACAGACATGACTTCAAATTCAGCAGTGTGCTGTGGAGGAGCCTCGGACACCACAGTTCCAAAACAGGCAGAACACACAAGCTGTTACAGGCACGGGGAAAAATGCTCCTGATGGAAACCGATTTGAGTTAGTCATCAAATAACGAACAGTCACACTTGCTTTCAGCTCCATGCATGCAGCAAATGGTCACCGTACTGTACACTTGGTTCAGCCCACATGATTCCACTGTACCACATTGCGTAAGGATCAGACAGGAGTATCAGACACACTGAATCCACATCAGACGACTGGACAACCCAGCGCGCTCTTCCCACCCAAACACTGACCTGGACACACCCCGACACTGACCTGGATGGTCGGGTAGTCGCACACACGCATGCCCACGTCGCCGTGAGTCTTCCTGGTGACGTGCTTCTTCACCACGTCGATGCAGGCCATGGAGATGCCGTTCCAGCAGGCCGAGGTTAGCAGCAAGAAGTACGCTACTATACATTCGTCGTTTGCCCGCGCGCCGTCACCTAAAGCACAGTGCAGCAAATGCTGGACGTTCGCTGAGCTCTTTGGAGTACTTAACTTCCGGTTTGTGGCATTTCAGTTCAGTCCAGGCGTTGCTCCTCCAAGGATAGCACTCTGATTGCGCTGTAGGTTGTAGATAAATTACTAATAAGCCAACCAAGTAGTCTGGTGAACGCAAAGGTATATCTTCATGATGTCTAATGGCTACAGCTCTACACATCAGTCATAGGTGGATCCTGGGGGGAGGGGGGAGGGCCACGGGGCCATGGCCCCCCAACAAACTCTGATAGTATGTTTTGGCCCCCCTCCCCAAAACATTCCCAGAACTTCATAAAAGTTTCGTCTACTTACCCTTTGTTTTAACTTTGATGGTGCGGTATCAAACATTTCTTTCCGTTGCGGAAAACTGCATGAAGAAAGTTGGCAGCGATTTGAATGTCAAAACAAAACACATGTTCAACATGTGTTTTGCAAAACAGTCCTACGTATAATACCAACTCCATAGATTGGTCTCATCTCCGACAGCAGCAGTAGTCGCTTACGTTACGAGCGCTAGTTCTTTCTGTGGTGAATATTTGGGTTCTTGTAAGTTAAAAATCGGCCGGTAATTTCTGGATGACATGGAGTTCCCCGCTATTTGAGACCGTGTTTAGCCTTAAACCGTGACCTTGAGATGTCAGGACTTTTTGACTGACGCTAGTTCATTCTGTTGTTAATATTCTGATGTTCGTAGGTTAAAAATGGGCCGGTAATTTGAGTAATATGGAGTTCGCCGTTCTTTGAACCCGTGTTTGACCTTGAAGGGTGACCTTGAGAAGTCAGATTTTTTACGAACGCTGGTTCTTTTAGGTTGAATATTATGATGGTGACAATTTAAAAATCGGCCGGTAACTTTCAGTAATATCGAGTTTCCCGTCTTTGGAGTCCGCGTTTGAATTTGAAGGGGGACTTTGAGAGGTCTGAATTTTTGGACGGTCGCTAGTTTTTTTGTGGTGAATAATCTGATGTTTGCAAGTTAAAACTCGGCCGGTAATTTTTGGGTGATATGGAGTTTCCCGTGTTTGAGCCCCCGTCTGACCTTGAGGGGTGACCTTGACAGGCGAAAACTTTTTGATGGGCGATAGCTCTTGCGCTTGCGAGTATTTTGATGCTTATAGTTTTAAAATCTGCCGGTAGTTTTGGGTGATGTCGAGTTCCCCGTCCTTTGGCCCAGCTTTTGACTTTGAATGTCACATGAAATTGCAAAATAAGGGTTATTTTTAGTGTTCTCATGCTACAATTCACCCTGAGACCCTTTTTCAGGGAAATGGGAACTCGTCGCTGACAAAAAATCGCTGAATAAATCGCTAACTTCACGGACATGACACCGAGCCTAAGCGTCATCCCCGCTGTAACGGGCGCCGCACGTGACTTACCGATTGGTCCGACCATCCTGTCGTTAGGCAGGATTCCCTCGCAAATCAGCGGTCCCGACTGGTTTCCGTGCAAACCCAGGGAAAGCCACTCGTTGGCACTGGCTCGCACCTCGTCCTGCAACGGCCCCACGCCCATAGCTCATGTTGGTTATAATAGCTAACCTACAACGAGCAAGGCTGTGGAGCACTTCACACCAACACAGGCGCGACATACGGGTTCCATCTTAATTGAGGGATGTCTCCGTCCTTTGTGCGATTTGCTACTAAAGCGAACACTATGATGCTATGTGGCCTGTTCTCGAACAGCAATCATAGATTTCAAGCGGTCCTACGCCATGCTAGTGTGCATGCTTGAACATTACTGTTTTAAAATTTACATGGAATTCGTTTGCCTTGGGAAGAAGCGATTAGATTTCGCTTAGACTGTTTCTGGTCTGCTTTATAAGCAAACATATTGAAACGTACTTTTAGAAACTTGAACCAAAGGAATAATGTATTTTCCATTATCTTCACCACTGAAATCATGCCATCATAACATGCTTGTGCTCACTTTCATCATGAGGAAGTTGGAGAGATCGGCGAAATCACCGGCCTTGACGCCGGGGCTGATTGTCTGGACGAAGTACCAGTCTGCGAATCCGGCAGACGTGACCCACGACCCGTATTGAGCAGCTTTACATGGTCTTCGTCTAGCTGGCGACACTTGGACGATAGATGGAACCAGAAGTGGCCGCCTGCGGCGCGGGAGAGGGGTCAGAGGTCACAAAAGACGTCCTGCTGATGACGTTTAGACGACAGAGGAACAAGAATGGTCGCCTGGGGCCCGGAAGAAAGTCAGAGGTCACAGAAGACGCCCAACTGATGACATTTACCTGATGACGCTTGGATTTCGTTGAGAACCAGAAAGAACCAACTGACACACAATATCATTAGCCGCATTTTTTCTGTGTGACATGTACCAAAGGTCCTTAAGGTCTTCAAATGGCGTCTTAAACAATGCAAGACCTTGAACCAAAAAAACATGATGCATTAGATGTCCAACGATCGTTATTTTCATGTTGCGTTGCCTGTACGGCATCATGTATGAGAACAGACGTCCAACTGAATACGGCCCTGCTTTCTTTTCTTGAAGTATCTCGGTTGGTGCATCCAATCCGTGCTTCGCGCTCAACACCTTCACATTCTTACAGTAACGCGTCGCGATGCTTTCTGCCACATGCTTGCTCCAATGTCTTACATTTCTCGACTGCCCCCTTCCTGTCTGGCTCGCGAATTCCAGTCTCTGTGGCGCTTGGGTCGTGAAATCCAGTTTTCCTAGTATTGACTTGTGACGTCCGACCTCCTTGGTGTCTGGCTCCTGTCGTCCGGTCTCCTTGGTGTCTGGCTCCTGTCGTCCGGTCTCCTTGGTGTCTGGCTCGTGAAGTTAAGCCTCCTTGGTATCCGTCTAACGAAGTCCAGTCTTCATGGTGACTAGTACGTAAAGCGCTGCTTCTTGGTCTTCCCTCTTGCCATTCAGTCTACCTTATGGAATCCCAGTCTCCCTGGTGTCTGCTTCGGGCGGTCCTGTCTCCCTGATGTCTGGCTCGAGAAGTCCTGTCTCGCTGGAGTCGGCCTACGGACGTCCTGTCTCATCCTCGGCTCTGGATCATTTCCATCACTAACGACGTGCGAACATTTCTGATTAAAATGTTTTCTCAACGATGAGTTTGGATCTCTTATGCTGACATTAAGCCAACTCCAACATGCCAGGAGCTACTGGTGGAACGTTGTTATCAAACAAAGAGCTCAGTGATAGTAATAAAAACCATGTGTCTTAACAGGAATATTTAAGTTCTGAGTTTCGGCAACCTAACAAGATTCCTGATAACCAGCACGTTCTCTTCTAGCAGTACCTAATCAGTTCAACTATTACCTTCTGATGTATTGTAGCTGATTTCATTTGAGCGCAAAAAACTGCAAAGAAAACCTTTTGAAATGTTATAGTTTATTTTTCTTCAGCACAAAACCTGCAAAAAAGCCTGATATATTGTGTTGGCTTCTATTCAGCACACAAACTACAAACTCTGACGCAAGCAAATAAAGCTTAATGCTTTTCTTGCCTACGTCAAGCTGCTAAGCTGCTCGCTGCTGCAGATGCCTTGAGATCATCTTCAGCAGCTTTGATGCTCGCTGGAGCATTGGTAAAAAGTGCAAATGTTTTAAATTGGCAATGTAGTGAAAGTCAAAAGTCAGAGAAAGTGAACGCATCACGTTTGCGTTGTTGACAGACGTCAGTGGCAGGCGTGTCTCGCTACCCGGCACCAAGCGAACAAGAACCACGATGCCAACATGAGTGACGTCTGACATCTAATGAATTGAACAATGACCAGTTTCAACGCCCATTTTGTTTGAGATGTGGATGAAGACCTGCGAGACGCTCAAATCAAAATAGGGAATACCACTTCCGGTGACATTCTTTTTTGGCAAAAAACCATTAGGTTGAAATCGAGGGGGGTATGGACCCCACGCCCCTTTTAGAGCTCAAAGTCATCTACAGATTACAGGACCACACAGATGGGAAAATAAGTGAATCTGTTCTTTAAAAAAATCGGCGATCAAATCTTAACGTACAGGGCTCATCATAGCCGATTATGCCAACATGATATGTGCCTTGATATGTGATGTGTGCTAGCTTAAAATCATATGCACGTATAAGTTGATATCTGGACGCGTAATGTGTGGGGCCGGTTCAACTGAAATCGCTCGCACGTATAACGGATGCGTGGTGTTGTAATGCCTGTGGGCTTGAATTCGTTTGCATGTACATGCATTCTTGCAGGATGTAATTCTTAGATATGCGCTGTATCGTGGTAATGGCTGGCAATCGCTCGTGTTTCATCCCTTGAATGTTGCTGTCCGCAAAACTGTCGCTTGCCGTTTAAAAAAAAAAACGTGGAAAATCGAGTACGATCATTGGCAAGCAATTTTGAATGCACTTCTGCCATCGTTCGAAAAAGGCATGCCAAAATGCAACCCGTTTATATATGCATTCTCTTAGTGTCGTCCTAGGAATAAGGCTATTACTATTGTCTTTTCTAGATAGCCAGTTTGGTCTCAAACAACCATACGAAGGTCAAACCAAGTTTAATGCTGGCTATCATAAAGCCAGAACGATACAACTTTCCAAAGGCCAGATTAACAGAAATATTACCCGTCAAGGGACGGTTTTTCCAGATTTTCCCCCTCCAAAGTTTTATAAAGCTCGGAGCAAAAAAACTCTCATCCACGAAAATCCTCCGCTCTCGAGAACGATTACGATCGAGTTTTGTCAACAAAATGTGCGATGGTAAGCGCAATGATAAATGCACGGTTATTGTAAAAGATGAGCTTTTAACAAAATTCATCACGCCGTGACCTTTTTTTAAACAGGACCGACGCACTTTTATCAGAATGCGCCCTAATTAGGCTCCGGTGGCCTCAAAAACCTTGCTTCGGGGTGCATGCATCGTCACTGTTTAGCTTGCATCGCTTTGCTCCCACCTGGTCGATGATGAAGTCAACATCAGCTACAACGGGTTATTCACAAGGACCTGCAGCCTACATCATGCTTCGAGATGCCTATGCGGTGCTTTGGTTCTACCCCATACGTGTAGAGACGCGCAAGCGTAGACGTCAAGGAAATGAGCTGGAAACATTGTTCAGGATTCAGGAACATGCCATAGCTTACAGATGAGCCTCGATTTGCGCTAGCTGACAGATGGCGCAGATGTTCATAAATATCTGCGCTGTGCTGGATGTATCACAGCTTTACCCGCATGTCAACATCTTGCTGCCTCTAGCACGTTAAGGCTCAGGGGAGGAGGCGTAGCAGTGGAACCTCTGTCTAGATGCTGGAAGGAGGGGGGAGTGGATGTCAAAAGTTGTCCTTATTTGTACAGCAGTTTTCCCTGCCCCGCCTCCTTCTCTCTCCCCCCCCCCCCACCCCCCCCCCCTCCCACCCTGCCGATTCATCGCTCATGCTTGGGTGCTAACCAGTGGTCTGAAGTCATAAATGGGTACCTCAAGCATTCCTATCATTTCTAGTGGCAAGAGATACGCAAACAATACAATGTCTCCACGGATAGGTACCTAAACAGGCCTCTCGAACTTCTTATTTTAGATGCTTAGATTCGACCAAATGTCTTCAATTAATGTGCAACTTAGATGGCATTTGCTGTTTGCATGGCTGATTATGTTTTTCATGATATATTCATGGACCTTGCGTGCTTGCCCCTCTTTCTGTGCAGTTAGTGATTAAATAAATCACTAACTATAAAATGATAGAACCTCCATCCCGCCCACTCATATCCACATTCCTTGGCAACAGCGATAGTTTCAATAGTTTCTATGACAAAGTGCATTGTTGCTCCCCTCCCCCTCTCGCCCCCTGTCGTACCTGATAGTCTCTCTCATGCGTTGACTAAGTTGTGACGATTCAGTGGCTAATGGCTGAATTCGTTCGGATTTGCCCCCATGTCCTGAAGTACTTTGTCCAAATATTTATAATGTGCTGCTCGCATTATAGTACAAAATAACATCATGCCAAGCGAAAGGGGGGTGGGGAAGGCAATCCCCTTATCAAAGCAGTTGTTGATGCACGTTGAACTCTTTTAAACAGATGATTTCTAAACACTTCCAGCTGGACTTCTTCGGAATAAATCACTGGTGAATGAGTTGCCTCATCTCCCTTTCGAGGACAGGTGGGAAGCGCCCTGATACAAACTAACGCCGTTTCCCAGCAAAAAATACTTCACTGAATGTGCTAGGGTGAAAAATCCTCTTTAAGGAAACATTCATGCTTGAACTAGCCCGAAAAAATCATCGTTTTCACACCGCCGTAGAGTTGGTGCCATATGATTTAGTCCCATGATGACGCCACAGCGTCTTCTTCCCAGAACGTAGTAATGTGGGGGATTGATATAATGAGAACATCCTAAGGCTGTGACTGTTTCCCAATAATTAGACCGACAGCTTATTTTTTAATCGACAATTTAAGAATGTTGCCACAGGGTATAATTTAAGGGTGCGCAGCAGCCCCCTTCCCCCCCCCCCCCGTAATCAGATATCTCGTAGTTAATGGCAAAGTAGCTCACTAAAAGCTCGGCGTTCTCACTGAGCTCCATCCCCCCTCATGAAACCTAGCTGTGTCCCTGTTTTTCATCACTCTTGACTAATGTTTGCTGTGGACTCCTCAGCGATATTGTGGGTCACGGATTTATTGAGACTGCACGTGGGACTGGAAGACCAGCACACTGGTTTTCCATGATATTTATGAGGCCTTAATCTAATGCTTTACTGGTGGGTTTCGGAGGTAGTAAATGTAATCAGGTGTAAGTCCCCATCAGTTATTGTTTCCTACTTCATTTTCGAACCGAAGGTTTTTACATTTTAAGATTAATCCCGAGCCCCCTCTCTCTTCCGTTGAAGAACGCGCTTCTGTGTTCAGCCAACACCCATTCGGCATCTAAACTCATAAGGAGGTACAGTGCAGCGGCATGCAGATATTCTTGCAAGTATATACGTAACTCTGATGATTATATGGGTGAAATCAATGAATCCCATGATTGATATGCTGTCTCTCGTTGCAGATGAATGACAGCAGACGCCGCCTGATTTCGAGGGTCCCGGTGTCGTACAGCCGCATCAGGTCCATCAGTTGGCAGCGACAAGATCATGCAAACTGACTGAAACTCAAAATGTTGTTGGCATCGCCAAGAGCAAAATACTGCGTTTTTTTCTGTCGCCATGTTGACCTATGTTTTCAAAACGTAGCATTGCCAACACTATTTATTATGTAAAGCTTTGAAGGCCGATCTCTGGCATGTTCAGTAAAGGTAACCAGTATGCATGGTTACAAAATATCTCGACCTCCGTAAAGAATCTGCGCAGTGGACAGAATTCCATTCCATACCGATTTTGTGGCTAGAGGCATCATTCATTGCCAACAAGCAGCAAAAAAGAAACAAAACGAAGCAGCTCATATTCCACGTCAAAATTTATGTGCTAACATTCCGGGATGACTTAACACCTCAACAACATGACATGACCCCGAGTCACTTGTTTGCGAACATGAGCAAAGGCTGAGACAAAATTATTTGAGTTATTTCCATTGTCCGCCCTTTCGTCCAAAATGCCGCTTAGAGTTTAGCCTCCGTGATCTATCCTAGCGAAGAGTAAACAAATTTACGTGAAACTTTTGATGACTTAATGACACAGTTATATGAAGGTCTCTAAAGTCCATCTTTGTTGCAGACCAAGACGACGATCTATCTGCGTATGGCATCGGTGATTATCGGTTAGCAGTAAGCATTGATGATGAAAAGTATGTATGTATGGTACCTTCTTATCATCGGATGCATGATAAGATCACAGATCATATCATACACCCGCGTTAATGATAACAGGTTAGTATTAAACTTTCTTAAAAGGTAAAACATATGGCCCATCATCACCTACATACAGGTAACACGCCTATGAATACCTCCGAATGTTGGTGCCCTTTCTGGTACATCCCAACACCAAGCCTTGCGGACGTTCGCTGCGAAACAAACGTAGAAATCGTCCTCCGCTAAAACAACATATCCAGCCCATTCTATAAACACCGGCCTGACATGATACGCTGTTGTTAGGTATCACCTACCGGTAGCCGGGTCACTGTAGGACAACGTCCCCACCAGCCTGTCCTTGTCCAGGCGGCGCAGCACGTCCTGGATCGTCGGGTTGTTGTGGTAGCGGAAGAGCAGGGCCGCCACGGCACTCAGGTGCATAGCTGTGGGCCAAATAAGACGGGTCATCCATGTCAAGGTGTGCACCGATCACCGCCGCATCACTCAATCCATTCAGCGAATGCAAATGCGATGGTTGAACAATGAACATTTGCTACGGACTGTAGCTGGATAGATACGATGCTATCCCGTAATAAAATACGATGCGTTGGTGGCAGAAGAATAGGCATATCGTGGAAAAATTGGGACAACTAGCCGACCTATAACCAGCAGACTATTCTGAGCAAATAACACCAACCTCAATGCTTATCCTTGACCAGCCTTGTGCTTAATTGGAGTTGAAGATGGAGGTGACTTCAAAGGCACATTAACTTTTGCTGGATCAGATTAAAAAATGTTTTCTTCAAGGTGTTGCGAGTCGGCTTGGAATTAAGCCGAAAAAGTCATCAGTGTTCTAACTCACATGAAATTGTCAACCCAAGCAAATATAACAGCATTTATCATGTGATGTATCAACTAGAACAGACACCAAGACCAGTACAACAATAATACGACAGCTTTCTTGTTTATCACACGGAACACCATATATCATATCATATCACGTCATATCACACGTCATATCACATATCAAACGCCATATCACACGTCAGCCATAAACTAGCGTCTTCACATAATACATGTGTTATGCAGACATGCTTGTGTTGTTATGGGTTATGTGTTGTGCAAATCATGTGGCGTTCTCGTGGTTAGTTCTCATGAATTATAGTCAATTCAATCGATTCCATCAGAATTGATTGCGGAGTTAGGACACTATGCTTTATCCGGAATCGGAGTTAACCCAACGCCCCACTATACTGCACTGTTCGGGGCTCAAGTTAAATTCCACCTCATCGTTGTGTGTAAGAGTCGGAATCACTTTTGGCATACCGTATCTATCACTAAGACTTCTGCGCGACGCCGGATGTGCTAATGAGTCGGTTCACGCTTAGGTAATAGAACATTTCAAGCTGTAGACTACGGCGACGCACGTGACACCAAGAAAGTGCACTGAGTCAATGACAGCAGTACATTCACTGCGAGCCATATATTAGCAGGGAATGCGATATAATCCAAAAGCGAGGCTTCAGTCACAGACGGTGCTCATGGCGTGACATGGTGGTAGCGAACTGCGGTACCCCACTACGGAACGTAGGGTACTGCAGTAGTCAGCTAAGACTGCAGATAGTTTTAAAAACAATGTTTATTATTGCAGACCGCAGCATGACAGAGACAGGCGAAGCAGGTGGACTTCAAAACAAACGGCGTTTTATTCACGCTAAATCACGGCAGTGTCGGGGTTACCGTGGAGGCCCATTGCTTTGGCAAAGCAAACATGGCTCTACTCGCTGCAAACTACGGCGTTGGCAGTTGCCGCTCTCTGTGTAGACCACGGCGCCTCACTAAAGACCATGGAGGTGCTAGCGACGGTACCCCTGTAGACCAAGACAGTGCCAGTGCGGAGCACGAGGCTGTTGGTAGAATTAGATAGTAGAGCCCAAGACGGTGCTAGCGAAAGTACTCGCTGTAGATCATGGCGCTGCTACCGACATTACTCACTGTAGACCATGGCAATGTTACCGACATTACTCACTGCAGACCATGGCGGTGCTACCGACATTACGCACTGTGCACCATGGCGGTGCTACCGACATTACGTACTGTAGACCACGGCGGTGCTACCGACATTACTCACTGTAGACCATGGCGGTGCTGGGGCAGCCGTAGCGGGCCAGAGTCTCGACCACCATGGCAGCGCCCAAGTGATTCTCCCCGAGTCCGCCCAGCTCTTTCGGGACGATCACACCCAGCAGCCCCATGTCGGCCAGGGCGTTCAGGGACTCCCGTGGGAACTCGTAGGTCTTGTCGCAGTGGACCTGCGTCGCAGCAGTGTACCGTTATCACTGCTATTCAGTGTGATACACCGCTGTCCCACAGTCGCAGTACGGGCAGGTCATTGTCACTTGTGTATGTTTGGTCATAATGAATATGCTTCGTAGTAATTGCATAGTGGTGTTACGTTTTCTGGCGGCGGTTTTACGTCCTAACAGTGGGTCGTAAAGCATAGCGATAATTTTGCGAAGTGGGTACAATTTGCAACAGTGAATCGGCAAGGCTGACAGCTTGTTGACCATTCGACCGGTTGATCCGGCCAGAGCGAAAACCAAACACACCATTGTTTTATCTCGAGCTCCATCTTCCCTTTACAAATGACAAAATGAGCAAAGTGCGTTACGTCCAGACTGTGTTTATCTCCAGGGTCGTGGAGTTCCCGTCACACGTGCTTATAACGGGGAGAATAATTCGAACGCAAGCGCTCTGTGTGAGCACAATTAAATGCGTCTTTAAAGGCTATCGCTATGACATGCAAACAGTCCGCGCCAGGGGTGTAATGTTCCCATGTAAGCCCTGCGAAAAACAGGAAGTCCAGCCATCCCAAAAGGAGGCTCCGATTAGAAAGACGGGGGGCACCACTGGGCTAAGGGAGATTTCATTGCATGGAAGTCTATGTATATAACTTTAGACGCCCTTGAAAAGTAGCGGAAATCCCTGGGGAGGGTTTGAAATAGTGAATGTGATAAGGCAATGAAAAGCGTACTCGTGTTAAACACGCATATGCATACCCATACGCACACGCGCACGCAAACGCACACATAAATGAGCGCTCACGCACACACGCACGTACACACGCATGCATGCACGCATGTACGTACGCGTCGACCGTTCAGTGCATCGTACAGTTAAAAGCGTACTTATGTTAAACGTACACATGCACACGCACACGCATAGGCATACGCACACACAAACGAGCGCTTACGTACCTACGCACGCACGCACGAACGCACGCGCGTACGCACGAATGCGCGCACGTAAGTACGCGCGCACGTACGCAAGCAAGCACGTACGCTGGCACGCAAACACGCACACAGTCACACACACACACACGCACACACACACACACACACCACACACACACACACACACACACACACACACACATACACACACACACACACACACACACACCTATTGACACGCTCATGCATGCAGCAGAAATCCGTATACTGCCGATGAAGTCACTGGTCACGAAATGTAAGTTGTTCAGTGCATTAGCGAGGAACATTATTCACGTAGATAAGACAGTAGCATTAGCCTTATTCCTCGGAGAGAAACCAGGAGAATGGAGATATGCTTCGGCAACACGCCTTTATCGAAACAATGCCAGTAATGAATTCACTTCTGCCATTGTTTTGCATAAAAAATGGAATGTAAATGTGTTTTAAAGCTAGACAATTCCATATCGAAGCAAGGCGCGGCTTTGCCAAATGACGTGTTATGCAGACAAACCATATCGCAAGCACTATGCTCGAAAACAGGCTGCTGCGGATATTGGCAACCCAATTTTTTTTGACCCCGTAGATCGATCCTCATACGTCCTGGGTAAGGGAAGCGGATAGCATCTTAAAGAGGTCACCTACCGCGTAAGGTCGTATTTTCTTGCGACAGAGTTCGATCAGGTCCGCCTGGAGCTTCTTCTGCCGGTCGGTCAGCACCCATGAAGGGTCGAATTCAGACCCAACGCCCCAAAACGGACGTGAGCCCCACATCTTTTTGGACTCGTTGTTCATGCTGCTGTCAGTCATCTGCAACAAAGGTGTCATTGTAGAGGCTGGGGATCTTGCTCAGTGGTTGCAGCGATTAAGTACATCAGACAATGAGGACACGGTCTGGCGATGTAGTGGTTATGAACCCGACAGGCTCACCCCGTACCGCGCATCCGGTTTTTTTAAGAAATACCAGTGGATGAGGATAAGCGACGCATTCACCACAATTTTAAAAGGAATCGTTGTAGACATATAAAGGGAAGCGAAATTAAAATAAATTGTAATAATGTAACTATTTGTATCGCCAGACGGAAAGAAAGCCAGCGGTTGAAAATGCTTCCAGGTACTTCATCAGCATGATGCCAAGTGCGTTTATCTTTTAGCTGTCTTTCGCATCGGAAGAAAATCACTGTCAGGGATCATTCAAGGACTTGCTGTTAAATGATATATGAGCTATTCACGCCGCATACCGTATCACACGTGACTAAAAAAGAAACAATAACCAACAAATACAGCAATGCTTAGCGGGCTTGTTCGCCAACAAAGTTATTGCGACGAGCAAATACTTAGATCCGGCCTCAAGATACGACAAAGACAGTTTCACATCTACTTTGGTCTAGCTTTTTCTCAAATGAATACTGAATAGATGACTACATCCCTCCCCACAATGTAGCGACACCTAGAGACCTAGCTCAGAGTACCATACGCCGAAACAACTCTCCCCGGTTCTTACCTCGCAAGCCAATGGCCTCTCCAAGGCCAGCGCAGTCACCCTGCTGCTCGCCGCCTTTCTCCTGCGGCAGAGGCGGGCGGGACCGGAGCAGCACAGGGCGGTCACGTGACTGTGAGGTGAGAATAATTTCGTTATTTTCTCTCAATGCGCGAGACGCCACGGTGATCTTGGGCAGCACCCGCGCCTTCCATTCGTTGACACCCACGAACAGAACAGATTTACGCCTGGTAGAGCGCTTGCCAGCAATCTGGTGAGCTCGCTGGAGTACTGACCGCTGGCGGGGGCAGCTCCGCCACCGAATGGAAACCGGCGCGCGGCGGTGCTGTCACAGGCTCGTTGGGGCGTTGCTTGATCTGTTTACCGTTCCGCCACCACTCAGAAACTTGCACTTGGCACAAACTGTTTACGGGAGAGTGTTTACGCCAACGATCAGAAGCTAGGCATCCATATTTCGTTCTGGTCTTTGCTCCCATGTAATGCTAGTTGCGGAGCAAGATGAGGATGAACTCTCATCTGTGCCCTTTTTCATCGGTCCTGAATATGTTGAAATGCCTTGAAATTACAGGAAAGAGAGCTCGCCTTGCTGTGATTAACAGGACTGCGAAGAAATTGCCAATGAAGTTTCGGGTATTGCAGTCTACAACAATACCCCGCCACAGTTGTTAGGGTCCAGCATTGCTGCAGCTACGATGACATCAACTTACTGCATTAATGGCAAAAGCAGCATTGAACCACCACAACAGATGTAGCCAAGGAACGGAACTTTGTTATAATATGACACCATCTGAACTAAACTTACTATAGCTGGACATCAATTTAGTGATAAAGCCAACTGGTGACAAATTTGGCTTTTAATAAAGGCAATGGTCGATAAAACAACGGCTACGTTGTATTATCTACTGTTTTTGGAAGCATTTGGCTCCTGTTTCAGCCCAAGCATCGTGTTTGACAACTGTCTCAAACAAATATGCGTTCAAAGGATTTCGATTTGATTGCTGATCTTGTTATTGGCCTCCATGCGTTTAATGCCCACATATCTGTCGCTTACGGACGTTTCATTTCAAGGTTGAGTGAATATCCCCAAAAATCCCACTTCAAATCACAACAGTCATTTCGTGCGACACGATAGAATACTTCAGACAATGCCCAGCTGACTTTCCCGCTTAGTCGACGGAACATTCGTGTGCCGGCTCCGTGACCATCTGAGCTCTTTTGGCTGAGGCAGAATTCCAAACCTTCCCAGATGTCAGTTCTGGGAACCTTTATCTGCACAGGGTCTCCCAGCATACCGGCTCGGGCAGTCGTGGCTGCCAGTGATGCTGCCAACCAAACTGTACGAATAATACCTAAGCGCACATCGACCGGTTCCGTGACTTCATCACCGCACCATCTCAGGACGTCACGGGAAGCCTCTAAATCCTGGTCGCGAAAAAATGCCAGCTCCTTTTCGACCACCTGAGCCGGGCGCCTGATGCTTATGCATATGTTTCCCGGCACCTCCTGGTTACGACCGAGGCCGCTGACCGAGTGTGTCTGAAGGCGACTTATCGGACACGTGTCAGCTTTCAGCGGTCTGCCCGGCTGGTGGTGCTCTCGACTTGTTTACGGCCTTGCAAAACTCTGTTAATGTCAGATATATTCCGGATGGCGTCGTAACTTCAGGGTTAAACGTATTTTCTGCAAGTTTTTCATACGTTGCAGGATTTTGGAGAGCTCCGGCTTTAACACTGGCTACATGGAGAAGCGCATCACTCTTACATCAATCGGACGACAAACTCTTTCTGTAAGCGTAAACATTTTCCCGTGTTGCATGCTTAGGGCGCGGCGTCGACTGTGCGGCTAACGTTACGCGGTGGTCAATAAACGGACGAAATTAATGAAAGATACAACATAGGCCCTTTTGAACGCTTCACGTCAGTTAGTACGTTATAACACAGTGCAGGCCTTTATATCACCTAAAACGTTATTTGATAATAATAACCATTGCTCCGACGGAAGAATGGTCTTTTGAAATGTTTGTTTTATTGTTCCTAGACAGCTTAAGCATACTATGATTGTTGTCATGAAATGTCATCGACGTCCCACAAGCTAAATCATGTTTATCAATTTCAGAATAAGCTTATTGTACGAAATGAAGCTCTAGGCATCTGTTTCAGGGCATGCCTCAGTTCCACCCTGCGTTCGCCCTCATGTGTATGGGTTTGGGCCTTTTTCTCGCAATGCTCTTGCATTATTTCCAATGATGGTAGAATATTTGTTCCCATTTGCATGCTCAAGTTACGACGTTATTCGATTTCCAGACCCATTTCCGTCGCAAGTAGGTGCCGCTACCCATATTTCTGTATCACAGAGTGTGGTTTGTGTTCGGGACTTACAGCCAACGCGTTAAGCTGACTGAAGCCAACTGCTCGCTGATGTCCCGATTCGTGCTAACGTATTCCAAACACGATTAACTCAATGATCATATTTCCATTCACCTTGAACTCAACATGGCTATTGAAGAGACGGCGGTCTTAGTTGCAACTCAAATTATGTATGCTTGTTGCCTCAAATACACATGCTTGATTTATCATAATATTTGCAGGCCATGTTATATGTACCGATTGGGTGTGAAACTTTAGTCTTGAATTATTCCTGGAAACGAGTAATCTATGGACAGCTCACGTCATTTAATGCTAATTCCTCCACTAAAAAACGCAACCTCATGTTAAAACTTGTCACTGGCCGCGAGAGAACCACGGAGTGGTTCACGTGCAGCCTTCGTTAAATGATAGCCGACCCTTCGTTTGAGCGACAAAATGACCCAGCACAGTGAAGCCCAACAGAGCTTTTTTGGCGTGTTTTTTCCTAGTTAGGGTCATCTGGTCTTGCACTTTTCGCATATCTATTACTTTTGAGAAGTTTGTCAACGACTGATACCAAAAAGTGTTCTGACTAGATACAGTCTCGCAATTACATATCAATTGTGTATTTATTTTGATATTATGCACCTACCGATGCCGGTTGATTGACAGATGATATTCTACCAAAATAGTAATTTTTCTTTGCTCGGTTGATTGGAAACATTAGTCAAATGTATATAAATAAAGGAGTGAAATACCACGATGAGGATATTAATATAGAAACTTCAGTGCAGCCGATAATGTGGTCATTCAACGAAAATATCGAAAGTTATATTTTCCGCCGATTATGGAAGACGAACTTAGTCCGATTCCCTGAATGGCTCAGTTGAATAGAGCGCCTGCGTTTCTGGTCCGCCTGCTGCTGACGGGGATGGGGCTCGAGTCGGTTTTGGGCGGTCGCTACTTCTTCCTAAATACGCATGGCCTGCGGCCGGTGGCAGCGGCCACGCAAAAGGTCGTGTGACGATAGAGAGCAGACCGTACCGCATATTGAACTTTCCGCATCAATTTCTGTCGTTGAGATGGAATTGCGCAATGGAATGGTAAGGATCAGGGCTCGCACAGCAAGCACTGCTTAGCGCAAACTGTGAGCCCAGAAATCCATCTATTCAAAAAATTTGGATGAAATCTTTAAAAAAGTTGCTAATGCGGTGACATGACTGCTGACCGCATTCAAAACTCCTCCAGCCAAGATCACATGCATTCAGTTGTATCTTAAGATGATTTATTTAAAATCGCACGTTTAAATGAGAAGAAATATTTTAGTAAAAAATTGGGTGGTGGTTGCAGAACACTACTGAATCCAGTTTATGGGACGGCTACGTGCACGCTAGGAACCATAGAAACCACAAAAGATGCTCGAGTTTGGCCATAATTACCGGTAAAAGTGTGCATCATGCGTGAATAGCATATAAAACTGATCTCGCTATGTTATGTTTCCCAGCATTCACAGCCATCGGGCCTGGTCGCCAACAGACCTGATAACATTGTCAGAGCGCCACAGGACAACCCACTACCGCAATTGGTCAGTGGTAGGCAAAGTCGGGTACAGAACGAACTGCGCATCACACCAATTAGGCTGCCGGCGGTGATAAATAAGCCAGGCCCCATTCGAATCGCGAGGCTGCAGTACCACGCGTTCTGTCAAACGACAAGGATCATACCGACTAAAGTGTACTACCAATTTTTTTCCACGATGGAGGCAGGACAGCCCCTTCTCGGTTATTTATTACGGTCAACGTCCATACGCAGCCAATGCTACAGCTCTTAAAATTGGGGTTGAGACGCCCTGGCCCCCTGGTCTTTCCCCCTCGACCTACCCTTCTTCTTGAGGCTCCTATCTACTGATGTAGTCAGCAATGTGAGATACCAACTTTTACCTAATCCATGGGTATGCTGATCCACACAGCTCAGCAGACTGTAAGCGTCCGCATAAACTGCTTGATAATCCCACAACACAAGTGATGTGAAGAGGGTTTTTGAAAGAAACACATTATAGAGCATTGCACCGAATTGTCTGGGGCTCATTCTAACGCTATCAGAATCACACCGCAAGGAACGGCCAGTCAGCCACTCATTCACTATGGGTAGTATATGGCCGTTCATGCAGCAGTCCGCTGATTCCGGCGTCTGCGTAACAGCCTGTACTGGCGGGTGCGATGAGCCACCAGGCCGTCCTAGTCACACCTCATGATACTGTTCCGTACGAGCGTTTTCACCAGCGCTGTCGTGACACTGAGCGACGCAATGGATGTGCGACACTATGACCGGCAGCCATTAGCGCGATGGGGCGCACCAGCTAAGCCAGCTCGGTGGGCCCACCGCGTGCTTGTTAAGCCGGTTGGTGAAACAGGACGGGACAGCTACCGCTGACTCCTGCCGAAGTGGGCTGACCAGAACCATACAAGCCAGCGGTGCAGCTGATGGTCATGCTTCTGCGACCAGACGAACGCTGTTTGTTGCGAGCTCACGAGATCACAAAGTGTCCCAAACCTTAATATAGCTTTCTAAACATTGATTCGTCTTTTTCAGTTCACTTGCAAAACAGCTGGCTCATTGCCGGTGCAGTGCGTCAACAGGCCTTTGCATATATACAGAACAGGGGGAAAAAACATTCAGAGC